AGTAGGTTCTAGAATGATGGCCGACTTTTGTGGCCCGGTTAATGGTGAAGTGATATTTTTTGTTTTTGAACTTAGTTCTGTGTTTTTCGATAGTCTTGGTGCTTTTTCAATGACGACTCGAACTGTGGCCAAGTGAAAAAAATAACTGACGTCCTTTTTTAGTCGATTGTGGCCGGGACAGATGTATTTGGTATTTTTTCTTGATTTCGGAGATGTATTTGGACTAAGGTTCTTGGTATAGTACTTGGATATATTTGGTAGTGGAGACTTACTAGTCAGGTGCGTGACTTTCAAGGGTTTGCTCTCACGTAGAACTTGAGTATATAGGCAGTAGTCTCGATGTTTGTCCTACTAACTTCAGACCCCTGATGATCCTGGTAGGCGGCCAGGTGAAACCGGTAGGGTCCTACGCCATGCGGAAGTTTCGACTTCTACCTTTGTGCTCTACGAATATTTTTTTGAAATGCAAGCCACACGACACTAGTACAAGTTTTATGTCGGTTACTCCGGGAGTACAAGTATGCTTAATGCATTCAATGGTGATCGTTGACAACTTAAACCGCAGAGACCACAGTCGGACAACAAGGATGGGGGCGGGGAGAGAAGGAGGACAGAGGACAGGACGACTAGAAACACAATAGACCAGTAGAAGATGTCCACGAAGGCGACTTGCATTTCAAAAAAAAATTCGTAGAGCACAAAGGCATAAGTGGAAACTTCCGCATAGCGTAAGACCCTACCGGTTTCACCTGCCCGCCTACCAGGATCATCAGGGGTCTGAAGTCGGTAGGACGAACATCGAGACTGCTGCATATACACTCAAGTTCTACGTGAGAGCAAACCCTTGAAAGCCGCGCACCTCACTAGGCAGTCTCCACCACCAAATATATCCAAATACCATACCAAGAAAATTAGTCCAGATACATCTCAGAAATCAAGAAAAAATACCAAATACATCTGTTCCGGCCATAATAGACTAAAAAAAAGCGTCAGTTATTTTCGTCACTTGGTCACAGTTCGAATCGTCATTGAAAAAACACCAAGACTATCCAAAAACACAGAACTAAGTCCAAAATAAAAAAACATCAATTCACCATTAACCGGGCCACAAAAGTCGGTCGTCATTCTAGAACCTACTCCCGCGTCAGCCAAAAAGGCTCAATACTACCACCTCGTCAGAAACCAGGTCACCGAGTCGGTCGTCGATCTAAAAGCTACAACAACACGTGCCAGCGCAGAAAGCTCAGTACAAAAAAATACTTCGTAAAAACCCAGGTCACCAAGCCAGCTCTCAATAGGACAAGTACGTAAAGAAGGTCTGCGAGTCATACAGCGGGTTAATAGTGCGAAAAAAAAAAAAAATCATCAAACAATCTTTAAAAAACCTCAAAAATAGTAACTAAGTTCAAACAGAAACACTTGGCAGTCCCTTGACGAGTATTAAGAGGACCCACTAAAACGAGGGTCTACTGAAAACCTCTTCTAATCACCAGAAAGTTGTCCCACTCATTAAGGACTGGTATCCATTCGCTCTAGAGTCCGCCATACTTTTTGGAGAAATTAATCAAGGCATGATCAAAGAAACAGTCCGGGTACCCTCTTTTCCACAGTTCACACAAAGGAAGGGATACCGAAGCATATGTCCTGGCACGATGAAAGAAAGCACAAATCACAACAATCTTCTGCTGCCGACTTGAAAAGGATACATAGTCCTGTATGTTCTGGAAAACCAACTTACCATTCACCTCCCCACGTTGGTTCTTAGTCATCGAAAAGTAGAGGACACATTTTTTTCCCTCAAAAACCTTGAGCACACAGCCTAGAAAATCCTAACAATTTCCTTCACTTGTTTGCTCCAAACTCAAATTTGTATCGTAACACCTGCTGAAACGCTCAATAATAGTATAAGCCCTTCTTTGTCCTTCCTTGTCATTTCTCCTGCATTTTACAAAAACAGAGACGTCATCTACCAGTCTAATGCCCGTGAACTCCCCTTTTCAAACCCAACTCGAGATGTAACCTTGTTGTACAGCATGTGCATGTCCAGGTCTTTTCCAACCAAATTAGGAATCCTAGAATAAACAAGAAAAAAAAAGTGAACAGTTTTCTAATTTGGCTGGAAAAGAGCTAGACATGCAAATGCTGTACAACAAGGTTACATCTCGAGTTGGGTTTGAAAAGGGGAGTTCACGGGCATTAGACTGGTAGATGACGTCACTGTTTCTGTAAAATGCAGGAGAAATAACTTGGAAGGAAAAAGAAGGGTTTATGCTATTATCGAGCGTTTCAACAGGTGTTACGATACAAATTTGAGTTTGGAGCAAACAGGTGAAGCAAATTATTGGGATTTTTTTGGCTGTGTGCTCAAGGTTTTTGAGGGAAAAAATTGTGTCATCTGCTTTCCGATAACTAAGAACCAGCGTGGGGAGGTGAATGGTAAGTTGGTTTTCCAGAACATACACGAGCCGACTTCCTGGAGATTCGCCTTAGAGTAGTCAAACCTACAATTCCTTAGAATAACTTTTTCCTTTATTGGGCACAAAACAAAGGCAGGATTCCCATAAAAGAGGTTTCGCATACTCGCCTCGTACACTAGAGGGCAACAAGCAAAGACCATACAATGGGTTAACAGTCAAAAAAAAACATCGAACCTTGGCTTTACAAATACTGCTATCATACACCATGCGAACAACAAGACGTTTCCGAATATAAACGCCGAAACGCAAGAGACAAGACTATGACTAAATACAGCGAAGACGAAACCGTGTTCTCTTCTCACTAAAGGTTCGAACAGCCGTGAATGCAGCAACAAACTTCTCAAAGTCCCAAACTCGCAACACAGAGCGGCTGCGCGGATTCGTCAAAAACTCAGCAAGCGGTGCTTTCAAAGTCAGAGATCTGCTTAAGAAGGGGACAATTGAGACAAAGGACAGGGTAACATCTCCTCTAATCCACGCTCGTGCATGACGCAACTCCACAGTACCAAAAACGCTCGTCACCAGACTCCCTCCGAACAACCGCCTAACGACTTTCCATCGATCCACAAGGCGATCGCCACTTACACTATTCTTGATCCAACCAAAGAGGATATTGTCGCTCTAATCCACACTCGTGCATGATGCAACTCCACAGTACCAAAAACACTCATCACCAGACTTCCTCCGAACAGCCGCCTAACGACTTTCCATCGATCCACAAGGGGATCGCCACTTACACTACTCTTGATCCGACCAAAAAAAATATTGTCCTCAAACGAGCCGCTCGTGCCTTTGGAAGTGACAATGGAAAGACGGTGGTTAACGTAACTGACGATGGGGTTGCCGATTTTGGAACGGATATCGGGTGTAACTCTGCGACTTCTTAAAGTCATGTCCGAACGTGGCCTTCCTATAGAATGTTGTGAGGACTTGCTGCAAAATTCATTCTCTGTCTATCGATTTTCTTAGATGTCGTGCGGTTAATCTTCTTCTTAGTCTTGCTCTTTGTTGCTTATTTCTTGAAGGAGGTGTACCTTGGGGTGATAAACTATCTGATTTCTTTGTGCATGCTTCGTCTGTACGTGATGTCGATGTTGATGAATGGACTGGACCTTTAGTATATGCTTTGATTTCTCCTTGGTCTCGAAATATTCACGTAAGTAATACCCAACATGATTTACATTCACGATGAAGGGAACATACTTATCGTGCGTGTGACTCTAAAGCGATTGATGGGGGGAGACGTAACGAGATGTTGTACAAATGGCTGAGGAGGTGTGGGGCTCATATCTATGTTATGATTCCGTTGTGCCGTGTTTCATCTGAGGATCTGACGGAAACTGAGAAGTACTCTATACGGTTGTTGTGTCCCGCACTAAACACACGGGATAGACCATGACGATCACGAAAATGTCGCCCTGGATTAAAGGAACGATTGCGAAAGAAGAAATTGACTTCGAAGGAGGTTGTTAAGTTCAGTGGACCGATTGTGCGATTTTATTGTGGTCGTTGTCTGAGTGATTAGAAGGGATTTTGAGTAGACCCTCGTTTTATGGGGTCCTCTTGATACTCGTCAAGGGACTTCCAAGTGTTTTTGTTTGAATATGGTTACTGTTTTTTAGGTTTTTTTAAGATTGTTTGAAGATTTTTTTATTTTTCGGACCGTTAACCCGCTGTATGGCTCACAGGCCTTCTTTACGTACTTGTGCTATTGACAGCTGACTTTGGTGACTTGGGTTTTGACGAAGTAATTTTTTGTACTGAGCTTTCTGCGCTGGCGCGTGTTGTTGTAGGTTTTAGATCGACGGATAACTCAGTGGCATGGTTTCTGATGAGGTGGTAGTGTTGAGCTCTTTTGGCTGGCGCGGGAGTAGGTTCTAGAATGACGGTCGACTTTTGTGACCCGGTTAATGGTGAAGTGATGTTTTTTTTTTTTGAACTTAGTTCTGTGTTCTTGGATAGTCTTGGTGCTTTTTCAATGACGATTCGAACTGTGGCCAAGTGATGAAAATAATTGATGCCCTTTTTTAGTCTATCGCGGTCGGGACAAATGTATTTGGTATTTTTTCTTTATTTTTTAGATGTATTTGGACTAAGGTTCTTGGTATGGTACTTGGATATATTTGGTGGTAGAGACTGACTAGTTAGGTGCACGGCTTTCAAGGGTTTGCTCTCACGTAGAACTTGAGTATATAGGCAGTAGTCTCGATGTTTGTCCTACCGACTTCAGACCCCTGATGATCTTGGAAGGCGGCTAGGTGAAACCGGTAGGGTCCTACGCCATGCGGAAGTTTCGACTTCTGCCTTTGTGCTTTAGAAATATTTTTTTTAAACGCAAGTCACGTTCGGGCACATCGTCTACTGGTCTATTCTGTTTCTGGGCGTCCTGTCCTTTGTCCTTCTCCTTTCCCCGCTCCTTCTCCATCCTTGCTGTCCGACTGTGGTCTCTACTGTTTTAAGTTGTCAACTATCACCATTGAATGCATTAAGCATACTTGTACTCCCGGAGTAACCGACATAGAACGTGTACTAGTGTCGTTTGGCTTCGACTCACTCATGATGGCTAGCAACGTTAACTCTGCTTTGGCTACCGTTAGTACCTGCCATAACTGCCAGCAGCCTGGGCATATCTCTAGGTACTGTCCTCTTTCTGACCGTCGTCTCCAGGCGTCTACGTCTATTGCTATTGTTTCTGCCCAAACCCCCTTACTGACTGCACCTGCTGCAAATGTTGGTACGGCCGTCCAACCCTACTCCGGTCAATACCCCAGTGGTGGTGGCTGGTTGGGGAAACGTGTTAGCACTCTCGAGGAACAGATTGCGAAGATTAGCATTAGACATGACGTGGCTGAAGCCAAAGAACGCGCTTTACAGGAGGAGGCTGAGAAAAAGAAGAGAATTCGAGAAGAGGAAGAACGTCGACAGCGTGATCAGCAGGAGAGGGAGAAATATCAGGCGAAAATGAACAGGGGGATGAAAGAGAAGTTAGATAAGGTAGTCGAGGCAATCAAGGGAAAAAAATCGAACGAGAATGATAAGGTTGCTAGGTTGAAAGCAGAGGTGGAGAGGCTGAAAAAAAGTCACAATGGTGCGAGTAATTCTGCGACAGTGACACAACCTGGGAGAGAGAGTGAAGAACTGGTGAGGTTACGAAGAGAACAAGCCGAAATGAAGGTTGCTGCGGAGAAGCGATTTGCGTCATTGGAAGATGTGATTCTGGCACTACAGAAACAGTGCGAGGAAGCAGAAAACAATGCTGAAGTTTGGCGGAATGAAGCCCTGCATCCACGGAACAAGCGTGGATGTGTGGCGATTGGGCAAACTCCAAGGACCGAAGCTAGAGTCCGACCTCGTGTTACTCCGACAGTGGCTCCTAACCTTGCTCGACAAGTCGATCCGCAGTTGAAAGGGATAGTGGAAAGGCATGCGGCGGAGGTCGAATTACTCAAGGACGTGCGTTTGAAGGAAGTCAACGCACAAAAGGAATCTGAGAAGGAGGTTGAGAGACTGAAAAATGAAGTGGCAAGATCGCAAACGAAGAAAAAGAAGACGGGTGGTACTAATTTGAAGGCACGTCTTAACGATGTTGTTGGACCTTCTACGAAGAAAAGGAAAGAGAAAGTGGTGGTCAGCCCGGTTAAACTGGCGGTTGACAAGTATGCCTTTGTCAAGAATGCGAGGCGTGAACTGAGGGGATTGAACAAGGAATCTATTATGGCGATTTGTGAACGTGAAGGGGTGACTTACACTACTCTTGATCTGACCAAAGAGGATGTTGTCCTCAAACGAGCCGCTCGTGCCTTTGGAAGTGACGATGGAAAGACAGTGGTTGACGTAACTGACGATGGGGTTGTCGATTCTGGAACGGATGTCGAGTGTGACTCTGCTACTTCTTAGAGTCACGCCCGAACGCGGCTTTCCTATGAAATGTTGTGAGGACTTGCTGCAAAATCCGTTCTCTGTCTATCGATTTTCTTAGATGTTGTGCGATTAATCTTCTTCTTAGTCTTGCTCTTTGTTTCTTAATTCTTGAAGGAGGTGTACCTTGGGGTGATAAGCTATATGATTTCTTTGTGCATGCTTCGTGTGTACGTGATGTCGTTGTTGATGAATGGAATGGGCTTTTAGTATATGCTTTGTTTCTCCATGGTCTCGACATATTTACGTCTAATGCCCGTGAACAGTTTCCTTTGCACGTTGGGGTCTGTCCCACAGCTTGGGTCCTCGCACGCTTGAATGGTTTTTTTTTACTGCGCACACCACCCCATCGGTGCCAGCATAGTTGACTGCAAGGGGTGAAAACGTGGATGGCTCCCATTTGGTTGAATGTCATGGTGAGGAATACTTTGGTCGAGCAATTGCTCTCAGCGGCAGAAAAAAACATTCGCTTGTGATCCTCCTGCTGCTGCTTCCCTACCCACTATGATGCTTTGTGCTTTTGAAAGTTGTGTTGTTATGATAGATCGATTGTTGCGCCCTGTGGTGATTTTACCTCAACTGTTTTCTTGTGGACTATCTGGACAGAGTCTTCATGCTCTTGAATGTCGCTTGGTTGAATGTAACTGCATGACACACTCATGTAACCGTTAGTAAACAGATCATGCGTTCGAATTCTGGTAGAAATATGAGTTTGAATACAATAAGTAAATTAAGAGTTATGGAAAAATAACAAAATCACTTAGCGCAGTCGCTCATTTTACAAGAACTTGTATGAACAAATGGAGCATGATAGCAGTAGTAATGACACACCTCACTCTGAAACGGACCCCTTCACCTCCCCCCTCTCCGCTCAGACCTCCCAACACACCCACACCCACCCACCCCTCTTAAAGTATTACAAATCCTGATCTCTGTCGTTTGCTTGTTGCTCTCTCTGACCTCCAAATCCTCATCCACATGGTGCTTGATTATCTAACAGTCGCTTATTGCTAACTCACCTTTTTTTTTTTAAACGCCAACTCAGCATTAGATAATGGCAACTGAGCAGCTTGATCCTGACTCAGCTCGACAGTGGGGACAATAATTTTTTGCACCATAGGCGCAGTGTGTATCTGAAGAACCAGTGCATGCATGATCCAGTTGCGCTTTGGGATGAGATTACGAGGTGGGTATGATATTATTAACAATTTGGTATTGACTGAGTGATTTGTGACCTGTCTTGGGCGCATGCGACGCCTTAGGATGAGTAGTGACAGTAGTGGAGAGGCCTGAGTGTGCGTGGTGCTCTTTTTTTTTTTTTCAATGTGGTGTGTATGGTGCTTTTTATCTTTGGGTTGGAGACTTTCACTTTAGTCCTTGATAAGTATGTGTTGCATTATTTTAGGAGGTTGGAATGAAGTGACTTTTACGTGATTGACAAAAACGAAAGGTGCAATGACCCACACAGTTTCAGACTGTGAAATCTGGATTTTATGAGGAAAGTTGTTGTCTTCAATCCATACTTGCGGTGCACGTGTGAGCTGCGTTGTGCGCTGTGCGCCGAATCAGCAAACAATGTACTGTGCGTTGTGCGTCGTTCACCGTGCGCTGTGCGGTGCGCTGTGCGCTGTGTGCGCGTTGCGGCCTGTA